AATTTTGTTTGGTACTTGCAGCCTTTTCAGAGCTTCGATGAGTTTATGTTGAAAGATCTTGTCGAATGCCTTTTCCCAGTCTAAAAGTACCAAAGTGCTGCTGCAGTTCGATTTTTCCGCCATATCTTGCAATCTTCAGAAGAAGTGGCAAGCTATTGAAAACCAACAATGGGATGCAGCTGAGTCGATTAGCAAAGATATTACAACACAAGCCAAAAAAGATAAAGACAACCACCTCCTTGAAGAACTCGAAGCAGTTGCAGCACAAGGATATAAATGGAGTGGCCTCAAACGTCTCCGCGCTAAATTTACTCCCAAATTCACCAAATTCAAAAACAAGGACGGTACATTTATCCATCAAGCTGACTATCCACAAAAAGCTGCCGAGTACTTATCTAAAATCCAATGGGGTGGTTCCTCTTCGTCAACCTCCTTCCCACCTCAGCCATCTAGAGAGAACAATCCACTACAAAATGGCTCATATGTTNNTATGTTGTAGATGAATCCCCTTTCACCCTTGATGAACTGGATCATGTATGTCGACGAATTAAATCTCTAAAAACGCCTGGCCACGATGGAGTGCCTGGTGAGCTCTTCAAATGGCTAAACAGAGAGAACAAGTCTTTACTTTTGAACGCCGCAAACAAATGCCTTGAAGGAGGAGAAGTCCCCGAACAAATCCTCAAAGCCGTAGTGGTATCGATATACAAGAAAGGCGACTCTACTTCCCTTGAAAATTATAGACCGATTTCATTGTTGACGTCCTGCTATAAGATTGTTGCCGCACTATCAAAGAAAGACTGGACAAAGGATTGGACGCATGGCTCATGCAAACACAATTTGGTTTCCGTAAAGGCAAAAGCACTAGTCATTTTGTGTACTATACTATATTATATTGCGCTGTAATGTATAGAGTATCAGAACATATTGTTATAGCTTTATTCGCACGTCTTCCGAAGAGGTATCCGGCCTCGAAGCCCCACTTCTTCAGGATCGGTGTCTGCGCCTGGCTTTTTGGAGTTCGGGGGGGGGCATTCCTGGCTGTGTGGATGACGGACAGGCGCCTGGGTAGGACGGGCTTGTGCGGTAGCGAGGTGTAAGCTCATATAGAAGCGATCTTTAGATTCTACTATAGTCTTACATACATGCATAACATGTGTCTAAATGCATATATATGTATATATGTGTACATACCGTCAATATCACATGATGCTGTAAGGTATTATAGTGCAAAGCCGGGACAGGAGGCCAACAGCAGCCTGGCTTCAAGATGCAGATCGAGACTGTCCATGCGGGTCCAGCCGGAATCTATACCAGGTTTTCGTCATTATGCACTATAAGACCCTAAATCCTAAACCCTAAAACCCATGTAATGTGCTACCGATATAGAGCCCTTGGAACAGAGCGGCTTGGACTCGGGGCTTCTTACAGTAGTCTGTGAGGTCTTGCATCTCTGCCGCCTGCTTTGTCTAGGGGT